TGTTCAGGGAGTAGAGTTAGGGTTTAAGAGTTGGGATTTAGGGTATAGGGCTCCGGGTTTAGAGTTCAGGGTTAAGAACTCTGGTGTCTGCTTTAGCACCCGAGTTTGGCCTTCGGGGTTTCGGGTGGAGTTTGGGGTCTTGGGTGTGACAGCGTACCTATAGTCTCCATTGAAGTTCCTTTTTTTGGTTTAACCAGTTCTATATTCAGGATTCTATAAGGTATCCCCAAAAAGGAACTGCAATGGAGACTATAGGTAGGCTTCAGGTTTTAGGGCTTGGGGGCTTGACCCTGAACCCTAAACCCTGAACCCTTAACTTCAAGCCCTTAACCGGTAGCCCTGGGCTCTGAGCTGCTTGGTACTAGGGATTCAGTGTTTTTTGTGGGTTTTCGTCGGACGTCGGGTTGCAGATTGGGGCGTTTTGGCCTGAAAAACCCTGGGATGCGGTGCTTGCATGGTCTGGCGGTTCGGTTTCTGGGTTTGGGTTCCTTGGTTTAGGGTTTAGGGATGTGCGTCGCAATGTTTCAGGTTGGGGTCCGGGTTTTACAGCTCAGATAGCAGGCCCTGAGTAGATCGGAATTCTACTCCTAACTACCGGCGCCGCCACCTTTGTAGTCATAGCGGCCTTGACAAACAGTCCTTTAGGATTTAGAAGTACAGAAACCTCCAAAACCCCAAGGCCTACACGCATCGTGGCCGGTCCCGCAAAGACCTGAACACTGAAGCCGGTACTGGCAGAGCCTTGCGACCCATGTCAGAACCTCCACAGCTCATAGCATTCCGACTCACAAAGCCATGCTCTAGTCTTGGTTGCTAATGCATTGTAGTATTCAAAGACATTGCGACGCCCCTTCTGAACCAAAAGTTGCAAGCAACCACCAACCCAAGCCCTCACCCTCTGCCAAAATCACGGCTTCCCTCTTGGAGCCTGAAGAACCCCGCATGACTAAAGACATCATGTGCGATAGCATCTTTAATCTCCGAATCAGTACCGTGCTATACTGTACTCCACTCTACTACACGGTCGCACTGTGCTCTAGTATACTTTACTATACTGTACTATGTTCGAAACTTGATGTAGTAGAATATTACATGAGATTTCTGGATGTAGCATACCAGCGTGTCATTCCAAGGCGCAGTATGGTGTACTCTGGTACATCATGATATAAAGCATATGTCTTGCGAGTAGAGTGATACAACGAAACATAAACTTATTGCCTCATAACACAACTTAACATAGCACATCATATCATAACATAGCGTAGCACAGCGAAACATGTTTTCCACAACTCTCATGACAGATCCAAACACAGCATACCATACCTGAGCAAACCGCATTGCAACATAATGCTAGTGCAGCACAATAAAGTTGGATACGAATTCATATGGTATGGCATGTTATGATATTATGAGATGAAATGACAGGACATGAGATGACGTACTTGCATGATACTGACGGGTTATATGACATGTAGAGAACGTATAGTGTAACAAAGTTCAATATCATGTAATGAAAAGTATTGTAATATAAAGTACTGTAAGGGGCTGTAGTTTACTGTACTGCCTGGTAAGGCAAGGTGATGCAGTGTATTTTCAGGTCATGTAGTATAACGCAGTGTAATATACGTTGATGTAGTATAATGTAGTGTACTAATAACAACACTAGTACTTGAACGTAAAAAGAAACACAAGAGTTTTGATAACGAGAAGAGTGTTTAGTCATAAAATCATGACAACAACAACAGCAGCAACAACAACAACATTAACAATGATAACACTACTGATAACATCACTAGCAATCATTATAGCCCTCATAACAATGATGTAAGGCTGTGTAAGATATGTCTGGACTCCAAAGCCAGGCCTGGAGCCGTTCGCGTTTAGGCACCGTGGTTTTGGTTGCAGTGCTGTGGTGCTGTAGGGTTTGTAGGATTTAGGGTTTGAAGGGATTCGGGTTTAGGGTTTGACGGGTTTCGGATTTAGGGATTTAGGGTTTAGGGTTTGAAGGGTTTAGGATTTCGGGCCTAGGGTTTAGGATTTGTAGGACTTGTAGGGTTTAGGGCAGTTTAGGGTTTATGGGGATATAGAGTATCAGTATCGGACTGAGGGCTTATAGGAGTTGGGGTATACTTGCAGGGTTTAGGGCTTTCAGGATTTGGGGTTGCAGGATTTAGGATTTGTAGGCTTTCGGGATTTATGGTGGGTTTATAAGATTTAGGGCCTAGCTCCCCTTCCTAGGGTTCCTTTATTATATAGGCCTTTAAAAAGGTAGGTTCCTTGGGGTCTGGGCAGGGTTCATAGGATTCAACCGAGGGTCGACTTCAGATCGCGGGCGTTGTAGTAGGGATCAGGCTCGTTGCTTGCGGAGCATTGGTGATTTCGGGGCTTGGGCACATGTGCCGATCTGAACCCAGTCCCCGCAATCGGGCACCCTAAACCCTAAACCCTAAACCGCGAAACCTAAACCCTAAACCCTAAACACCTAAACCCTAAGCCTTTCGATCCTGTAGTTGAAGGCTTGAAGTCGCCTTAAGGCCGACACCCTAACTCCAAATCCCCGCTTAGGATTTAGGCTGCCTCACGGTTTAGGGTTTAGGGTTTAGGGTTTAGGGTTTAAGGTTTAGGGACGGCAGCCTGAGGATTCTTGGGGATGGGAGCCGCCATAAACATGAGACGATTTTGGAGGCTATAGGCCCTTGGCCCTTGCCCCTGAGCCCTTGCCCTACTTGCAACAAGGTTCATCAGGGTCGAGGGTGTGCCGCAGTGCCGCCGCAGTCGCATGAGCAAGATTTGGGGCATTGCAGAGACTTTACGGCGAAAGCATCGGCGGCTCAGCAAACGACGGACCATAATATATATATATATATATAACCCTAAAGTAGTACACCCTTAATCTTAACAAACACTTACAAGCATCTAGACACCAACCCTGCGCCCGGAGGGATATGTCGGTTGCAAAGATACTCACAGTCGTTTAGGGATTTAGTGTTTAGGGTCGTGTCCCACTGGGGCACCTACAGCCCCCAAAATCACCTATGAATCTCGGAGGGTAAACCCTAAACCCTAAACCCTAAACCCTAAACCCTGGATACAGACTGTTTCAGCACGGTTTGCGGGGTGCGAGCCTCTCTGCAGTCATTTCGCCCACTCAGGCCCCTAACCCTAAACCCTAATCCCAAACGTCTTGCATGTAAACCGATCCGCCTCAACAGAAGGAAATCGAAGAGACATCTATCCGATGGCAGGCGAAGCAGAAGCCAACTTTGCTGCCACTGGCTTCGTGCCGCAGCTGTGTTTTAGAAGGCTTCGGGTTTAGAGCTTTAGGGTATAGGAGTGTTTCATGTACGACTCAAACCAGCAGCCCTCCATGAAGGCGATTCGGCACAGAAATCCTCGGTAGATTCTGTTTGCACCTTGCTAGCTGTAGGTGAAATTCAGGGCTCCGACACCAAAACTTAGAGAGCAGGTTGCTGTGGGGCC